CTGACATCGAGGAGGCAAGGAGGAGGGGATGGGGGTGCAATCTTACTATGATTATGAGCCGGAATGAATTCGAGCCCTGGTGGAGCGAAGGATGGATGGCATGTTAAGCGAACCACACAGGGGCAGCTGCTCGAACCTGCGAACCTTGGAGGGAGAAAGATGAGGCTAGGCTGACTGGTTCCGGAGATTGACAACCTCGGAAACCTAGGGGGCAGTTTTACTCTGCCCTATAGCTTTGCTGTGAGTCCAGTCCATTGGTTGGCAGAGGGATCCACCGGGAGCTCACTCGCAGTGTGCTACTTGTTGGGCCTGGGGGAGTCGGCCCTAAATGCAGGATCATGTACGTGCATCCCTTTCCGGAGAAATGCCATTTAATTAGGAATCTGATCCAAGACTTGCGCGCACAAACTTGCCATTTGTGCGAATGGGCTGTAGTCACCCCAGCACCTGTTTTCCTCTTGCCTCGAATTAATGGCATACAACCGAGAGGAGATCGTCACTTTAAAAGAACGTCATATACATATATATGTGTGTACACACACGTATAAAACACACACACACATACACACACTCATAGATAGGTCTTGATAGTTGTCCTGCACTCAGTTCTGATGTAGAAGCATTGCCTGGTCCTGTGCCATCCTCAGAATTGTTCCTGTATTATCCATCTCCCCCAGGGTTGTCCTCCTCGCGGCTGACCCTCCACCAAGCATGACGTCCTTTTCTAGGCACCAGTGGCTCCTGATAACACGTGCAAAGTATGTGGGACAAAAAATTGCCATCTTCACTTCTAAAGAGCATCCTGGCTGTACTTCTTCCCAGCCGGATTTGTTTGTCTTGCAGTCCATCTCACTGTCAATATTCTTCACCAGCACCATAATTCAAATGCATCACTTTTTCTCCTCTCTTCTTTATTTGGTGTCCAGCTTTTACAAGCACATGAGCCTATTGAAAATATCATGGTTTCAATCAAGCACACCTTCGTCCCGAAAGTGATATCTTTGCTGTATAACACTTTAAATTGGTCTCATGCAGCAGATCTGCCCCATACAATTTGTTCTTTGAGTTCTTGACGGCTGCTTCTGTGAGCATCGATAGTGGATTCAAGGGAACCGAAATCCCTGACAACTTGAATCTTCTCCCCATTTATCAGGATGTTACTTACAGGTCCAGCTGGGAGGATTTGCACTTTCTTTATATTGAGTTGCAACCCATACTGGAGACTGTAGCCTGCAGTCTTTATCAGTCAGTGCTTCAAGCCCTCTTGGCTTTCAGCAAGCACAATTGTGACATCTGCATATCACAGGTTCTTAATGAACCTTCCTCCAATCCTGATTTCTCATTCTTCTTCATATACTCTAGCTTCTTAAATTATTTGCTCAACATGCAGATTGAATAAGTTTGGTGAGAGGATACAACCCTGACAGATCTTTCTTGATTTTTAAACCACGCAGTAACCCCTTGTTCTGTTTGAATGGCAGCTTCTTGGTCTGTGTACAGGCTCTACTTGAGCACAAAGAAATGGTGGAGATGCACACAGTCGAATGCCTTAGCATCATCAATAAAACACAAGTAAACATCTTTCTGATACTCTCTGCCAAGATCCATCTGACATCAGCAACAATCGCCCACGTTTCATGTCCTCTTCTGACTCTGCATCCAACCTGACTCCCTCCGGCAGCTCCCTGTCAATGTACTGCGGCAACCCTTTTGGAATTATCTTCAGCAAAAATTTACATGCATATTACATTAATGATAAAACCAAACCAAACTCACTGCCAGCGAGTCAATGCTGACTCATAGTGTTTGTTAATTTCAGTATTCTCCTAGAGTAGGTATTATTTAGCTTAGTAACGTGTGTGGTATATGATACGTGCCGGGTATAAGTAGTCATTTACTCTACTTAATCTCGGTTGAGGGAGGATCTCTATGAGTGTGAAGGCAGATTTTGAGTCACTTACAGTTGTGCTCTACCCAACGTTTGTGTTGCCCCCATTTTCGCTCCATCTAAGTCAAACTACTAACTCACCAGTCCCAAGGAGTGTGGAGGTGAGAAGAACGAATCAGTTGCACATGTGGGAGCTCAAGATGCCCAAGTAGGAAAGAAACTAGGATCAAAATGAAAAACAGGACTGCGCTGAGAGATTGGCTTGTAAAGAAAAAAGCATTTCAGGTGCACACCCAATGGGCCATCCTGCTCAGATTCACGAAGTGCAGCAGATTGATAGCGGAATAGGTGAACCTGAAACCCTTCACCTCTTGGTCCATTCCAGTACCTGCTTTTCCCTGAAGGCTCAACTCCTACCCTTAGCCTGTCTCTCACCAAAAATATGGTTCTATTTCATGTATATATTATAGAATTGGGAAGAATGAGTATTTCAGAACACTTAAATGTGCTTGTGCTGGATCTGTACATAGACCAAAAGTCAGTAGTTCGAACAGAACAAGGGAGTGTTGCATGGAATAAAATCTCCATTGGAGCCGACAGCCTCATCTTTCTCCCTTGGAGCAGCTAGTGGGTTTGATTCACTGACCTTTCAATTAGCAGTCCAACACTAACCCAAACAGCACGTCTAGGGCTCCTTATTCTTAGGACTCACTGATTCCTCCTAAGTATATATACACACACAGAATTGTGTACTTAATGCTCACCAAAAGATGTACTAGAATACTTACAACATCACATTCTGTGTATCTGTTATAGTATCTATAGCTATATTAAATAAATACATAGTCACCATGTGTTTGTCAGACTTGGCACCGTCATCACAATTCCCTAAGGAGACACTGCACCTCACCTGCCTCTTGAGTAATATCCTTTTAATTATTCTTTCTGGGTCAATCACATCAATTAATTGGCCTTTCACATAGACACTTTTTTTAAAAAAACAACAATGCTACATCCAAACTTCTAATAGCTGGCTTTCGAGCAGGGCAGTTAGTCCAGCTTCCCAGGGACCTGCAATAGGCTCAAGAATGCTGGATAAGGGGAGTTCATTGAAGGGGAGTTCATTTGAAGCGTTCTTCTCACTCAAGACCTCCGATAAGGGTTGCAGCTTTGAACCTGGACTTGGTCTCCTTGCTTAGGGCTCCTGGAAAAGGACTCTGGCACAGGGATTTCCCCATATTTTCTAGAGACTTTTTCGGGCAGATTCCTGAGAGTTGGGGGCAGTAGGGGAGTGTAACTGAAGGTGGGAGAATGGGATATTACATGTTTGTAGGAACTGGCATTAGTAAAAAACCTTGGCACATCCTTAGAGTTCAAATCACTGGGTCTTGGCTTTACACAGACCAAGGGGAAAAAGACAGAATCTTGGCTCTCTGGCAAATGACCCAGTTAGCAAAACTAGTCGTTTTGCTCTGGGAGAAGTTTAATTTAGTCTTGGAACACAGAAACCAAACTAAATCCATGACAATTTCTTGGT